TCCCTAATTGTCTAGCCTTGTCCCTACCTTCCTCTCTCAGCACTTGCGATAAAATTCTGAGAATTATTGCTGCTGTATGTACTGTGTCCCCATCCAGTGTCAGAGCTTGCAAAGGGGACCACAGAGAATAGCACAAGAGGTCTTCCATGTAAGTTATCCCGCACAGACACAGAGCTTCTGTTATGTTTCAACAGTATAAAACAGATACGAGAAGACATCAGCTCCAGTTAGTGCCTGAACTACACGCTTACAGGTAATTCCTGAAATGTCAGCAGGATGACTTTAAATAGTAGATTTCAGAGGATACGCTGTAAGACAAGCGAGATTTAGTCCTACCTCAAAATTCAGGTTTTAACGATTATTAGATTTTTTTAAAGGAGTATGATTTTTAGAGACATCACTCGTTAGTAAACAAATGACAATGTTTAAAGACACCATGTTGCAGCCATAGACACACAAAATAGACAGTAAAATCTCAACTAGGAACTAAATTCTGCAAGTGGAATACACAATATAGAAGTATTTCAATATAAGATCAAAACATTCACATAGATTAATTGTACCAGTGTTTTTACCTCTCCAACAAAACTCTCTAGGCAAACAAATTAACATTTTTCAGTTTCTAAATTTACAAACAGCTACCCAATTACGGGAACTAGGGGAGCTGAAGATAATCAAGTATTTTACAGGGGCTTAGTCATGTGAGCTTCACTTCAGTTTTGCTGTGATAGACCCCTTTAAGCACCATGGAAAAACAAATAAAGGTTTTATATCCACGGGAAGGCAATATTGAGAACACAAAATGCCAACAATATGCGGTTTTACTGCTAACAGGATTTGCTTGCACGCAGATTTGGTTTTGAACTTAATGCACTTTTACTGAAAAGATTCTGTGTGGGCCCTTTACAATTATTTTTGTAAGCATTATATTTATTTAGTAAATTCTTAAGCCTGAACCAACTGAGAATGACACTAAGTTCATAATTTTCTTTTTGTGAAGTTTAGCAGGAATATTACAACAAACAATGAAAGCAAAAGATTTATGTTTGGACCATTAATAAGAAAAAGATACTGCACTGGCATCTCAATTTCCATTTTCAAAATAAAGACATTTTCAGGCTATTAAATGGGCTGCTAAGTAAAGTCTTGTACTCTGTAGGGAGTCCGCAATACAATACTCTTCTGCCTAAGAATAAACAGTTTTGCTGGCAATAAAATATCATCTGGCTTCCTCCTCCAGTTTCTTTAATTTCACTGCACTGCTAAGCAGCTAAAGCATATCCAACATGCTGATGCTGTTGTTTTCTCTCATTGTACATCAGTTTCAAGTCTCTAGTCACAGTCTGTGAGGAAGAAAATTAGCCTTTCAGAATATACTAGTAGTAAAAGACTGTTTTCCCCCCACACACGTTAAGTCTAAACTAAGTCAAGAGAAATTATCCATTGCAATCATATACAAAGCTGTCTATCATAGTCAGGTGTCAAGTTAGAATTCAGTAGCAAATCAAAAATATTAATTAGGTTTTACTGACTCGGTCTCAAGATCTTTTGATCTAGATCAGGACCACTTACTCCCTCATTTCCTCACAGAGGATTCACCAACTCGAGCAACCTGGGGCACGGATGTGAAAGGAGGAAGGATCGGTTATAAGTACCCTGTCACTTTTAAGTGCTTGCTTTCGTTATCATTAGAATTGAGACCAAAACATTCATTCTTTTGAATGGCTCAGAAAATAGATTTACCTTCTTTTCCAACAAATAACCTGGCATCAAACAACTGAAAAAATTACCCAGTTCACACCACAGAGCAAAATAATTTTGCCATGGCTTAAAACTGCCTTTTCCTGTTGAACGCCCAACGGGTTCAGATACCTTTATATGCTTTATGACCACTTTAGGCATATCCCCAGGAGCTATAAAGCACCTGGTAGAGACTTTAAAAGTTTTACTATTTTACTCAGAATTAGAAATCTGAGGGAATCATTTTTCTTCATTGAAAAAAAAACTGGCCTGGAAGATAAATTTTCAAAACAGGAAAGTATTTAAAGTACTTTTCATATCACAGCCTGCTAAAACATAGAAAGTAAACATCACCATGGATATGCAGACCAGCGTTTAGACCAAACACCTAAACAAGCAATTCTGTCTTTATACTGGCTTTGAATATGCAACAAAATTCGAAGTCAGAGCCAGTAGTACGTTCTGTATGTTGGTTTACCTCTTCTGCTTTCCTTAATTGTTTTAATTTTTATACTATGCTAGTTTAAAATCAGATTGGTGTAAGACTCAGGTTGGTGCATGTCTCAAATCATACTACTTTCTAGTTATTTTCCAATATTTAATAATGAAAGAGTTTGTTCTGACTCAAACAATACATTTGGTCACGCCTCAGTGTTTTGTGCTGTTTCTTCCATTGCCATATATATATTTCTTATTCAAAGAATTTATGCACAGGATTGTTGAATACTAGTGAGCACAGAAATGGAAATAAAGGATGAAGTCACCAATTGATGCAAATGTGTTTAACATAATAATACTTGTTTCTTCAGTTAACTTCCATCAATAAAAGTCTGAGCAGCTTGTTTAGCTCATAAAATAGAAAGTGAAAGACAGAAGAAATTGAATGGTTAACCACAAGTTACTAAGATGAATATTCAAGTGACTACTTTGAAAAAAATGAAAAAAATATTTAAATCTGATAAAAAGAGAAATCCATACTTCTAGTAATATGATTTGAGGGGAAAAAAAGACTTTTTGAGCAGAAAAGAATCACCAACAAAGTGAGAATAGTTTTTGCAAAAAATCACAAAATTGAATCAATGCTTCTATTTAAGTATCAGGACACTCCTTCTGCCCTGGTGGGCTTATATCCTCTATGAACAAGAAGCATGCCACAGACCTTATCACTGGGATTAACCAGGAAAAGTAGATTACCTCAGAGTTTTTCTCAGAACCTTCTTTTTTGCTAAAATGACAGGCAGTAACAAGATTTGTAAAGGGCACAATTTTAAGAAATATGAGCTAATAAAGAGAAAGGAAGGAGTTATGGCAAAAGTGATCTTGAAGGTCAGCTAGGCTGTGTTCACTGCTTCCAAGCTCAGTTTCTGCAGTTGTCTTTAGAAAGTCACTGCACCTGATAAACTAGATTTCTAGGGCCCGGAACACCTCCCAGTAATTCCAGATATTTGCTAAATGTCAAATTATCTATGTAATATTAAATAATGTGTATTTTCTAACAAATGTCACTGCACTTAAAAAATGTTGCTTCATACTCTATGACATTGAAATTTAATGAGCTGCAACAAGGATACCTTAGCCAGCTTGGTCTAGAAAGAGAAATTGTACAGAACATAAACCAAGTTCAAATGCGCTAACGCGCGGGTGCGTCTCAGGTAGTGACAGGGTCTAAGAACACACAAATAAGAATTACTTAAGAACATTTATTTGTGAACTCAAAGCATGGAAAAGAGAAATCATGTATTTGTCAGAAAACACAGACAAAAGTGCCTTTAGGAAAGAAGGTCTTGGCAAAAAGCCATTATAGATTAAAGTCAGAAGAGGCAACAACCAACACAGTTTGGCTGGGGCCCAGACACTAATATCACCACCACACATTCGTAATTAGGTGTCTCAGCAGCAGACAATATCCTGCTGCCTCAACACTTCTGTTTCACCTCGGAACCTTTTCACCTCATTTGCAGCCATCACATTAGTCTCTGTACACTTTCCTCCCCATACGACCGGTCTATTTCTAAACTCTTCAGACAGCGGTCATCTATTACCATGCATTTATTAAGTGACCAGTAGAATGGAGCCTCATTCCCAGCTGATCCCCAGGTCTCGCTAATCTGGTAAGAAAAAAGGCCCTCAAAACAACTAGACATACATGACAAGGTATTTCTAGTTCACATGCTGGGTAAGAGTTCAACAACAGTGAGTAAATATTTAGTGAACCATTCTGGGTAAGTGGACAAGGAAATAAAGTGTCCTTTTTACAAAATAAAAATATCTTGATTTCCTATCATTTCCTTAACTTTAACTTGCTTTGATTATAAAAGTCTGGTATAGCCAGAAGAAGTGGTGCAGCTCTACAGGAATAAGAGGGCAAGACTCTTAATTCTTGCTCTGTTGTGCAAGAACATCCTGTTGCATGACCATCCTCTCTAATTCTGTGTCCATAAAGCAAGCAATATTTGACTACTCACACAGAAATGTGTTTTCAAGGCTTACCAAACAAAGCTAGTTGAAACTACTAACAAATACCACTTCAGTCTGTAAATGTTATTTCAACAGTTCACCTGAATTTTGGGTTATCCCTCGTGATGATAAAAGTCTATTTACTTGCATCAAATACAAGGTGAAACACATTACAGTACCTATCAATTTTATAACAATGTTGAGTGTATTGAAATAACTCTCCCCATTCTTCAAATAATTAAGTTTACGGCTGTGAGTCCTTTGAAATTATTTCCTATTTACTAAATAAGCCCACGGTATTAAGATCAAGTACAACATCCAAACACACATTCATGTTTGATATAGCAAATATAACACAGTTTACGAGCGGTACAAAAAACCCTACACAATCACCCTACACAACACAATACTTAAGAACACGACCAACAGTAAAACAAAAAGCATTCATAGCAGCATTCTGGTCTTATATTTCCCTGCCTCAGAAAGAAATGTGTTGAAACACAAGCAAGTTTTCTCACCAAGACTACAGTTTGGAGCCACATAAGTATAAATGTATGCCCACTTACTCACATACACATACACAGATACCTATAGGTACTTTTCACATACCTTTTACAGAATATAAATGGGTATTTTCTAGTGCCTTGCTTGGGGCGAAAGGGGTGGAAAGAGAAACTAGCTCAAGGATTTATTTAGTAGTCACTTTTAACACATAGACAAATCTTAAGCATTTTAGATGTAAATTTAATGAGAACAGCAGCGTAGGATAATCAATGTTTCACCACAACAGAAGTTAAATATACCTGCTTCTACAGGAATTGGTTTCTCCAGGAGAAAAACTGTTTGTTTCCAGTGTGTTTTGGTACACCAGGGACCAGTTGAAAACAAGACCTGCATTTGAAGAGTTCAAAAGTCTAAGAACAACATTTTTAATACCACACTACATCAATTAATTACCAAACACACACACAAATTACTTGCGACAACAAAACAGACTCCCTGCCAAAAATCTTGAGGCAGAAAAACAAAACCTAAAAACACAGCTTTCACAGTTGTTTTTAAAATGCATAACCCAAAATACTCACCTTGTTGTGACAGTCCTTCTCAAAAAATATATCAAAATAACCAGCAACTGCCTATAACAAAGAGGAAAATACAAATATGATAAAGGAATAATAGTGACACTCAAGAAAATGTCTATCGTAAATACAGTTACTGGGATTTCTTCTCCTTACAAGCTTTTACTTACAGGAAGAGGCCTAGATTTATGCTTTTAAGCATGCTAGAAATTGTAAAACAAAAAAATTGTAAGCTGTCATTACACCTCAGCTTTGCTCTACTCAACAAAGTAGTACTTTCACAAAAATCTTCAGGCTACAGCTCCATTATATTACATAACTTTCAGTGGGAAACTTTCTCAAATAACCCACACATCTTAACTGAAACTAGAATTATATAAGAAAAAAACAACTTTTTGGATGCACAAACCCAGAAGCATAAAATTCACTCCTTGTCCTCAATGGCTGCCACGACCCTCATGCGCACACAGAATGAGGGACTCTGCATGAGGTGTTCACTCTTTGCATAGCCTGACACCATGTTCCTTCCATAAAAGCTCCCTGTAAACAGAGGCAGAGCATAACCAGCCAGGGAATATTCTTCTTCCTCCGCTACACACATAGATAAGGAAAAGGATTCACAAATGCCTCACGCTAGCCTTTCCAGTAGTTAATAGTTTCTGAAAGTGACTTCCCACGGGATTCCTTTCTCTAGCATTCCCTGGCACACCTCTTCTGTCCCTCCTGCCATCTCACTCCTAACCTCAAAAAGACCCTCCTTCTTCAGTGCAGAACTGATTAGTGGGACTTATCTTCCAGCTTGAAGGGAAAAGAAATATAGACTATTTTTGTGTGTGGACACAAAACAGTATACCAATAGTATTAATTACAGTCTTCCAATAATGGCCTGCTTTTTCAATGACAAATAAATTTGAGACTCCCAGAAATTCAAAGAATTCAAGTAAAGAACTGAAAGATGCTAACAAAAGATGACCAACATTACAGTTTCACCTCAGAAAAACTATCCACACTCATGCTTGTTTGCTTTCTGGGGTCTCCTATGAAAAGGCTTTTTGAAAAGATTCAGACAAGATGCCCAAGGCATTATAGCTTTCAGTTATACACGTCAACCTCAAGAAATGATCTAGAATACATCTGTTGAAAAGCTGCTACTATGGCAGCTGGGAAGTCTATCGCTGTGATATTAGGGAGGGATTCCCCTCATATCGACTGTAATACACTTGAACAAAATATGCACCAACTCAAAGAGGGCAAGTCGGTTGCATGAAAACTCACTGCGAATTACTACTATCTCCTTTCTTTCACAGTAGCAGCATTACTCCTCTTACCTAAAGCTATGAAATCGATTATTCTGAATAGTTTTAAAGGACAAATTCACGTCATATAAGCTTATAAAACTATGATAATATCTGAATGTCATATGGCTTTAGCATCGTATATTATGTAATGTGAATGATTACTAAATAGTTAAACTGTTCTGGTATTTTTCCTTGCTAGTCTAAAACCTGAATGGGCAACATGATAGTGAATACAGAGTCTTAAAGTAAATCAGTCCATGCTAGCTTTTGTTACCTATGTTATTTTCAACTAATGGCATTCTAGAGAGGCCTGGAAAGTTCTGAATTCCAACATGGTCCAATAGTCTTCAGAAAATGAACAAAGGAAACACTATGGGACCTTCATGAGGAATGAGCATCAGATGCTGGAATCAGTGACTCTTCCATTCCTTAAGCAAGGCCCATCACTCAGTGATGAGAATCTCATTCCCAACTGAATTACAGCCTTGCCTCTAATATGCCTTTTTCAGTGAAGATTGAGAAGGTTTTGACAGAGTTTTATTGACTCATCAGACTAGCTTTATTGATATATAATCTTTTTTGAACACTAGTCAGAGATCTACTAAGTTACAAAAATACTTTTCAGTCATCAGGTCAATACTGTTGATATGTTTGCAAATACGACTTAGGATATGATTATGAGGGAGAGGGCAGACAAGCCTGAAACGCTAGAAACGTATTAAGAATTGAGGAGAAACTGGCTTCCAGAGAAAACAAGACATTCAAGCTACATTTTGGACCCAAAAGCTGAAATAGTGCCCAAAACCCCAAGCACACATACCGTCACACAAAAGAAAAGGCAAACAGAGCTAAGGGGTGAAAAACTAGATCCCCTTCCAGGTACACTGCTTCCAGGCCATCAGTTAAAACCTGAAAAAAATTTCTTCAGTGAGCTATGTCAACAGGCAAGGCTATTAAGGCCTCAGTCCTGCATAGCTAAAGGATAACATTACACTTAAATACATACAGAATAGAGTTTGAAGGATATTTATAAAGCTATATTTAGTTAAACTATAAACTTACTTATAAAACTAACTGCAAGAGCAGATATTGTAATTCAGAAACTTAATGGATATCTTCAGCTATCTACACAATTCCTTGTGCCTCCTAAGGAGGCAGAAATCTTTGGGTTTCAAATGCTGCAGATAAAATTAAGAATGTTAAATAATATGTTATTACTATTCATACCAATCTTAAGCATTCTAAATATTTTAGAAGTTACATAGACTTTGTTGAGCTGATGTAATAAAATTTTAAATAAATTTGTAGTAGTAACACTTTACTGTATTAAAATTTGTATTAAAATATAACCAATAAGTGCTATAAATCATTAAACTAGTTCTAAATTAAGATTTCTTTTTAAACTATCAAGCCATTGCTCTAGGAAGGATATGCTGAGTAGTACAAAACGTTCAGCATGTAACTTGCAGGATAATTGAATATTGACACTTAACAGAAGTCACTCAACCTGGCAGCCAGGAATGAGGGAACATGTAGAGCCGTGGAATATATAAACTTGATTACTGGCAAAGCAGCAATATACTCTTTACTCTCAATGTTTAACAACTTCCCATCTTCAATTTTTTCCACTGTCACTAAGCCAAACTCACCTTAACATTTTCCTTCTTGTTATCCATACATTAGAGCTTGTATAAAAGCTACCAACTAAATGTTGATTACTACAGGTCTGAGAATTAGCAATACTTAAAATTATCTGGCGATCACAAAATTGTTTGGTGGAACAGACTGAGAACTGGAATACAAATCCATTACCTGAAATAGTATGCTTTCTGGTTTTTTTAATATCAGCAACCTAAATGAACAGCTCAAAACCAACACAAATTACCAGCACAAACACCATTCTCTCTATTCTCCATAAAAGGTACTGATAGAGTAATAAGACTAATAAGACTAAAGCAGGTTCTGCAGTAACTGACAAGATAGCATTTAGCGAAATCTGTTTCCAGTTTGCAAACACAAAGAAACTCATGAACCGTCATGTGGTGACTAACTGAATTCTAAAGCTGATAGTGCTGCTATCAAATTTAGAATAGAAGCAGACATACCAAGCACCTGAGAGTGTTTTTCGGTAGCTTTGTTTTTAATCGCAAGAACATCTGCGTTTACAAAGAGACCTTTCATTTCACTGTATTTTTAAAAACAACTTTCCATTTCAAAAATACACCTTGATCTATTTTCTCTTCAGATTTCCCCAAAATAGTTTTTCACAGCTAACAATAAAGCCACAGGTGTATAAGAAGTCCTCTGACGTTGCATAATACATCAATACAATACATCAACAATACATTATAAAGAAGCCAGTACTCTGTATGTCCCAAACACTCTTATTTCTACTATTAGAAGAATGATGCTTCTGTTAGATATCAACATTCGTATCATTAGTGAGGTGTAGTCACAGACTACATGAAGCATTCACCTCTTAGTGCAGTCCACTTACATTATATTGTTTCAAACACTGAAAAAAGAAATAAAGATTTACTTTAAACCATGGTTTTCATTTGAAAGTGCATGCATTCTGACTTCAGATCTACACACGTCATTCCTGAAACAAAAGTTCTTATCTGGAAATTCAATACCAAGTTTCATGCTTCCAGAATGTATCTCGATTGTCTGATATAAGACTCAGCATTCCGGAGCAACTTCACCTAATACTACGCACAACTAACTACTCAGGTTCTCTGCTTAACACAAGCATGAACTGCTGGTCACAGGACAAGAAAGAAGAGAAAGACATTTTATCAAGTTTGTGGAGCCACTTCAGAAGTGTCCTTAAGCCCTGTAAGTGCTGGTCTAAATGTAAGAAATAGTTCAAAGTTGCTCTTCTCACATATTCAAGCAAGCACTAAAATAGTAACCAAAGAATCCAACGTGGGAAGAGCAGTGGATGCTCTGACCATCTCATCCATACACACTCACAATAGCAGAGACATAGTTAAAAGTGATTATGAAAGTAAGAGTCAAAAACACTCTTAATTATTTACTCAATTTTAATTCCTGGGTTTAATTCATGTATTTTCAAACCATTTTGGAGCCAATTAAAGAAAAAAGTGCACATGCGCATGCACACGTGCGTGCACACATGCATGCGCAGACTTGATCTCTTCGTTTGTGGACTTTGTTTTAACTATGCTGTTTGTTTTTAATAAGTATCCTTTGACAACCTGCAATTATATACCACCACTGCATTTAATCTTCAGATAGAAATCTCCCCCCTCATATTTTAAATCTTTGTGAAAACAAAAAGTCTAATACTGAACACACTAGCTACTGACCATCCTACTGGCTGTGATTTTTTCCATATTCACTACCTCAGCTATTCTACAAGCCAACTACAGTTGACGAAACAGAGAAAAATATACAGATTAAATATATCAGGTTTTCATGCACACAGCTGGTGGCTTACCTGTAAGACAAGAAAACAAAACAAAAGCTCAAACTTGCTGTTCAACAGAAGTGCAATTATTTGCATATCCTTAGGTAATAAACATCAGGTGAAGTTTATCTCCCAGGGATTCCAGCCTCAGGTAACTACATTCTTCCTTTCCTCTTCCCAATTTCACGTAGAAGATTTCCAGTGCTTCCACGCCAAAAATATAACACTTATAAAGGAATCCAGTTTATTCAAATAATAGATTATTTGCATTAATTTAATTCAGCTCATTTCTGAAGTTAAACGTGGAAGGTTTAACCTGATGAATT